TGATGGACACCATGCTCCAAAGTGCTCCAATCACATCCAAGTCTTTTTGGAACCATAAATAAATACAGCAGACTGGGTGGTATTAGTCCAACCAGGCTCCCACCGGCTTCCCTAGGAAATGCCACAAATGATTCAACTTCTTTTTCACACACTTTGTCCTGTAGGTTCTCAACCATGTTCTCACCATGCGAAGCCACAGCATTTCTGCTTTGTCTTCCCTTTGCAAACACTTGCTTTGTTCAAGGCATGGATTCTTGTCCTTAGGAGATACTCCATTAGAGACTTACTGGCCTAAAAGCCTGTAGTACTCCTGCCTTCCCCACCCCACTTCATTCCACAGTGGCAACACTTGGAATAAATCTGAGAAAGAACACTTAGAAACCCAGTCCTTTGTTAGGTCATGAAGCTTACATATCCCAGGCAGGCTTCTTCTTGGATTGAATTCTTTTGATACTGATATTGATTTGAGTTGTCAAGCTTGGAAGAATGTTTTGAAATCATGATAAAAAAGTTACATTCTATATCCCCTCAAACATATAAACCTGATACACACACACACACACACACACACACACACACTCAGTTTTTTATTTTTTGATTGCATTAGCTATATCGATGTGGGCTGGGTATTAATATTCCTTTTATTCCTTTTACTTGCTTTGACCAGTGGGATTTGGGTGGACTTGGCAGGGCCGGTTCTGAGCTGAGATCTTGAGAATCATAAGAAGTTCCCCTCTGCTCTTTCTTGAGCTGTGAGAAACCTGTCCCAGGTAGCTTCCGGTTCCAGAAGAGAAACATAAAGAATCGACTCACACCAGCCCACCGTTTGAATCATAGCCCCTCAAGCCTGCCCACACTGTAACTGTGAAAAAAAGAATGCTCAGTTTGGTTGTTGTTTTCTTAATATGGAATCTCATTTTGTAGTCCAGGTTAGCCTTGAACTCACTCTGCATCCAGGATTGGTCGCAAACAAGTGGCAAGCTTCCTGAGGGCTCGGTGACAGCCATGCACTGCCACACCATGCAGACATGTTTGTTTTCATAAATCATTAAGATTGAGGGATTGTAATCGGTATAGCATTGTCACAGAAATAGCTGACAAATTCTGAGAAGATCAGAAGCCCGGGCAATGCAGATGAGAAGGAGCCCAGGCAGAGGCTCTGATGATAGCAGAATGGGCCCACATCGACCTGGAAGGCATGAGTTGACTCAAAGGCAACCTGAGCAAAAATGGGGATCCTTAGAGGTCATTCCAGGGGCTACCAGCTCCATGTATGGTTGGGAGAGGGAAAAGAGAATGCTCTGGGGAAATACCTGTCATCTTGTTGATCGTCTGACTTGAAGAACAATTAGGAGGAACCTAGGAGTCAAGTAGTTGTAGCTGAGCTAGTGACATCTCAAATCGCTCTGTGTCCAGACATTCTACCTTAGTTACCTTGCCTGGAAGCTGTGAGTGTGGATGAATCTGTGTGCATGCACACGTGTGTGCTCCTAGTGCCCCTCTGTGTGCCTCTCAGTTGCCTTTTTCTGTCTCTGTCTCGTCTCCCTCCCCCTCCTCTGTGCTCCTAAGGGCCCCTCTGTGAGTGTGGGGGTGGGGTGGGGTGAAATGGGAGTAGTGGCTGTCTCTTTAAAAATCTGGTAGTTGCTATCCACCCATTTGCTGTTCATTGGGTGTAGGTACATTGAATTTTTTCTCTATCACTCTCCTTTTTTTTTTTTTAAATAAAAAGGATTTATTTATTCTTACTTTTCACGTGTGCATGTGTTTTGCCTACATGCGTGAATGAACGTGACATGCATGCTGGATGGCTCTGAGCCACCGCGTGGGCTCTGGGAACTGAATGATGATCTGCGAGAGCTGTAAGTGCTCTTAGTCACGAGGCCATCTTTCTAGCCCTCCACCTCATTGTCTGAGGCGGGTCTCTCACAGCTCTCACTGGGAGCTCATTAATCCTGCCTCCACCCCCCAGCACAGGGCTTTTAAATACCCATCGCTGCATCCAGCTTTCTATATGGGTGCTGGTGGTCAAACTCCAGTCTTCGTGTTTATGTCTTAAGCACTGTACCTGCTGAGCCACTGCCCCATCTGTTATTGTTATTTGTGATTTATCTGTTATTATTTGTTATTTGTTTTTGTAATGCTGGGGGTGAAGCCCACATCTCTGCTCACGCTAAGTCAGTACTCCATCACGGGTCCACATCCCCATTCCTTCTGGTCACTGCTTCACCAGCAACTTGACCTGGGCTGGGTTTGAAACTGGAAAGCCCAGATTTCTTCCAACTCCCTTACTCCTCTTCCACAAACTGATATTCTCCAAGTCTGCCATTGACCCAAAGGACAACGAGATGAGAGGAGCCCAGGCTGTTGACTCGTGACTTGTGTTGCCACGGCGGGAGATGCTGGGCAGGCACGCAGACAGGGTGTTTCTGATTTTCTTTCTTGAAATTCCTTTCCCCAGAGGCTTCTATGCTCCGGAAGCTCTTGTCATCTCCTCATTGAGGCAGACGAGGATGAGAGTTCTGTTGGGAGGCATTTCCACTTAATCAAGGCCAGTCATACCCAAGCTCCAGGATTAGCCTGAGATCTGCAGATTTGCACAATTGCTTGGGCAGCCTGTTTTCTGTCTTCACCGCCTTGCTATCTGGCCCTTCTCTGAATTCCTGTAGCTTTTCCAGGACTTAAACGATGAGATTAACAGCTATCATTTTTTTCAATGCCTGCCATATGCTAGGCTCTCTAGTGGATCTTTCACAGATATTATTGATCATAACAACAGCAAAGATAACTAATATTTATTAAGCATTTACTGTGTGCTAGGCACTATGCCAAGCCTGGTACGTGAGGCAACATGTGCCTCATTATTTTTTACACACAAGCGACGGATGATGGAACTGGGATTTGGATGGAGCTTGCTCTGACTCCAGGGCTTTTCCTCACCCTGCATTTGTGGTGCACCATTGCTTGGTTGCGTTCTCACCGGGCCAGGCACATCAAACTGCTAATGCTGGCTGGGCAGACACAAATAATGCTGGCCAGAGCACAGTATTATTCTGTGCTCCACCCCTTACTAACTTTGGGGTGGGGGGCTACTGGGAGCTTCGGTTCATCTCCAAAATGGGCATAGAGTTGAAGTGGGTTTCCCAAGGAGCATCAGTGGGGGTGATGGATGCCGAGGAGTGTTTGATTCAGGGCTTTTCTAAGACAGTAGCTCTGATACAGGACAAGGCAGCATCCAGAGAATCATCACCAGAAGCCAGTGTCTGATGAGAAGCATCCCAATGCTGCTCCTGACTAACAGCGACACTGCCTTATAGACCTCCACCCTATATAGACCAGGGTGAGAATATTTGGAATCCTACCCTGTGTTCAAAGGTTCAGCTTCTTGTGTGATGCCCTTTCGATGGGTTTCTACTACTGATAAATATGTACACCCATGGTCGCCACCCGGGCACTGTGGTGGCTTTGGAGCCCTTTAGACAACTCTTTGACATTCTTTCTATCAAAAGGTAGCATCAAGCGGTCTGCTCTCAAACATGGAACTGAGGCTGCTGGGGAAAGCTGAGATAGGTTCTGCTCAGTTCACTCTTTCAGATGAACCAGCCGCCATGTTGGAATTAGGATTCAGCTAACACAGAGAGACTGCACAGAGCTTTGGACAACAGCCCCAGCTAAGTTTCTTGCTGACAGCCTGTGTCAGTTGCCAGATGACTGAATGAGACGTCAGGTGATTTGGCCCAACCTTCAAGCTGTTTTTCTGGCTGAAAAGAGGTGCAGGGAACCAGCTGTTCCTAGCAAGCTTTGCCTAACTGCTGACGTGAGCAATAGAGATGCAGTTGCTTCAAGCCCTGAGGTGGTGGGAGCATTTGTTACACAGCAGTGACATGGAACATGCACATACATGACAGAGCATGGAGAAGTGTTGGACATAGTTCTAAGTGCATATGCTCTGACGTCACATTGTTGTGTCTCAAATCTTAACTTCTGTTGGCAAGTTCACTAGGCCTTTGAGACTGGTTGTCACCTGTGAGATGGTAATGATAACCATATTGATTAGCTTTCTAGGGTTGCCATAACAAAATATCACCGTCCGGGAAGCTCAAACAATAGGACTTTCTTTGTTCTTGAGCTGCAAGTCTGAGGTAAAGCACTGGCAGAGTTGGTTTCTTCTGAGCCCTTTCTCCTAAATCTCCAGAAGAAACCAACTAGGTCTCGGTATCCTTTCAGGGCTTTCCGTGTGTGTGTGTATGTGTGTGTGTGTGTGCGCGCGCCTGTGTCCACTTTTCTTCTTAAAGGGAACAAGTCTGCTTAGAGGCTCCCCTAACTAGGACCTCATTGCATGCTCTGGAGGAAAGCTTGTCTCCCATCAATTGAATCCCGAGAAGAGCCGCTCTCTACTAAACACCGTATGGCCTGCTGGCCCCCAGCTTTGTGGTGGTGGCAAGAGAGAGGCTGAGGAGTCCCTTCTAGAGAGAGGTAGAAGCTATTTCCTGACCTGTCAGTGATTGCTGCTTCCTTTGGGGACCCTTTCAGGGGCTCCTGGATTAAGCCCGAAGGAGTGTCACAGGGTATTCTAGCTAAGGAGAGGTAGTGGTGCAGACAGCAGCAGTTGGTGTCTGGGATTGCCTGCATGTTCCAGAACTGACCCCTGGCACTGGTCCCACTGCACACAGTTTGGAAAAGGTATTTTAGAGAGAAAGTCCGGACTCAGAAACCTTTTCTGCCAAGTCCTTTGTTTTCCTTATGTTGCCACGGTGTCTGGGGCTGAATTTTTAAAACGGCATTTTCCTGGAAAGAAGGTTTTGGTCTTTTTTGGAAATGTATCATGTAAAACAAGATCACCAGTGGACCACTGGCATGAGGTCCCCAGGGCCAGTTTGGGAAGTAGCCGGTGGGGGAGGGTCACTCAGGGTGGGAAAAGGAACAGAAACAAATTTGGAGGGAAGATGAGATGTGACTAAGGGGCCAGCATTTCTGGGTCAGAAGTCAGCTCAGGGCTCAGATTTATTCCAGTGGGCAGGCATGATGACGGGGAGAGACTGAGAGAGATGGTCCCGGAGCCAGGCTGTGGGAATGTTCCCCGAGAGTCTGACAGCAGCTGCGCTGTATCTCAGTCTGGTTACAGAAACAACACGTTCCTGAGCCTGCTGTGGTCATCATTATTGGTCTGTGTAGGTGAGGGGGCCAACGCGATGTCCCAGGAGCCAACCACATCTCTGCCATTTCTGAAGATGGGAAGGTCTGTCGCATTTGCTCTGGAGATGCCAAAAAGGTAGCGCCGTGTCTTCTCATGGGACTGGAGGGTCCTCAGTGTTGGACCCTGCCCCTCCTCCACCCGAGGACCTGTTTCTCCTTTTGTTTTCCGGAAGCATGTGTGTGGGAGGAGCCTGGTTTGTGGGGCTGACCCAGAGCCTCCGTCGTGTCCCTCCCCATTTCCCCACCCCCCCAGCACAGACACAGACTGCCCTTTTGCTGCCTCCCTCCAGGCCCAGGGCCAAGGCAATGACTGTTGCCCAGTGGAATTTCTGTGGCAGGAAGGTTCTTGGAAGTTCTTTGTAGACCTGGCTTCCACCCTTCGGGCTCCCATGTTATGCTTCTGTCCATTCGTTATCCTGTCCTGGCCTCTTTGTCCTTGTCTCAGGTCTCCTAGGTTTATAGTGGCCCTGTATGTGGATGCGTTTGCCAATTCTGAAATCCCCTGAACCCTTTTAAGTCCTTGGTTTCTTAATGACTTACATTTTGTAAGTAGGACTGATTAATTCTTTGGCTATTGATAGTAGAAATGAACCCTTAGCTCTTCTCTGCTTTCTGGAGATGAGGAATGAAACACCTGGGAGACGGATGCAGGTTAGGGGGTGGATGCAGGTTAGGGGGTGGATGCAGGTTAGGGGGTGGATACAGGTTAGGGGGTGGATGCAGGTTGGAGGTGGATGCAGGTTAGGGGGTGGGTGCAGGTTAAGGGGTGGATACAGGTTAGGGGGTGGGTGCAGCTTAGGAGGTGGATGAAGGTTAGGGGGTGGATGCAGGTTAGGGGGTGGGTGCAGGTTAGGCGGTGGGTGCAGTTTAGGGGGTAGCACTGAAAAGTCCTACCCCTCTAAGGATGTCTTCTTTGGTGACCAGCACTCATTCTGAAGCTATCAAGGGAACCCTTGACACCAGCTCTCTAATCATTACATGTTCTATTCCACTCAACTGTGTGCCAGGAATCAAGGACAAAGGTCAGATATTTAATTTTACTACTTCACACTGCATTTTAGAATCACATTTAGTTATACACAGTAGAAATGGATGAGCGAAGCACCCAGCAGTTGGTTTGAAGTTAGCATTCCAGAGGAAAGTGACTAGTGCTGTGGACTAGTAGCTGAAGCTGTGGAACATTTCTTTAATGATGCAAAGATGCGTCGCATTCTTTGATGTTGCATCTGTATAAGTCTGCCAAGCCGTGTCACTTTGTCTGCCTAAAACACCTGATTGGTCTAATAAAGAGCTGAACAGCCAATAGCAAGTCAGGAGAGAGAAATATGTGGGGCTGCCAAACAGAGAGACTAAATAGGAGAAGAAATCTAGGAAGAGAAGATCAAGGAGTGAGAAAAGGAGGAGAGGAGGATGTTGGGGGCCACCTAGCCATGCAGCCAGCCACAGAATAAGAAGGAAAGAAAAGATGTACGGAAATAGAGAAATGTAAAAGTCCAGAGGCAAAAGGTAGATGGAATAATCTAGGTTACGAAAGGCTGGCTAGATGTAAGGCCGGGCATTCATAAGAAAGAATAAATCTCTGTGTGATTTTTGGGAGCTGGGTAGTGGGCCCCACAAAGAATAAGAAGCAAAAAAGGAAAAAAAAAGGCAAATAGAAACCAACAACAGACCAGAGTTAGAGAGTTAGTACAAGTCTTTATGGACACCACTAGGCACCTGGATGTTTTTGTCCTTCTGCCTTAGTATTGAGTAGTGTTCCCCCACTTCCTGCCCTTGCACTGTTCCTCCAGGCATTTTGTCCTTATTCCTGGGTAGGAAGAAGACAAAATGGACATGAATAAAGACAAACCACTCTTCCCAGAAGCTCGCCTGGCTGCTGACATTTCTCGTTCACCTGCCAGGGTGACAACACACTGAGACCTTCCGTGCTGTCTCTTTGGCTGCACATTACTGACTCGTGGAAAACCCCAGATTTTGTCACAAGAAGGAAGAGTATTAACACGGAAGCCAATAAAAGTATTTATAGTTCATGTATATGACTGCGATAATTTTCCAGCGAATCAAACTCTGTGTATGCTAAGGATGCTCTCATCTAGTGACTCTGTCTCAGTACCATGTTGCTAATATTTAGCATTTGATGTCTAATTTGTCTTTAAATATCCAAAACCCAGACATTATAATTATTGCTATCTCAGGATTTTTGTTAATATTGACTGCATGTTCCATTTCTTCTTTTATCAATGGCTCTCCCATCCGATTTCTTTCTGTTTAAATTCCCTCTTTAAGTGACAGTCTTGTCTTTTTCTCAAAATGGAATGTTTTTAAAAAGCTCTGATTTATACTTGAACTTGGTTGATTGTTTCACAATGATGGTTAATGTTCTTCATCACAGAGACATTGCTGGATGATCTGGTAGCAGTCAGTCTGTTGTCCACTTTTGTGGTGGTTGTTGGTAGTAATTTCTCTTTTCTTTGGCTCTGTTATGATTTCTCTATAGCCTGTGTTTTGCCGTTTCTAAAATGAGGCCGCGTGTAGTTTCCTACTTGCTCCAGATTCCATGTTTCTCCAGTTTGAAGATGTGTCTGCCTTACCTACTCTCCTCATTGCCCTAACAATGATTCCTACCAAGGTGAGCCAAGGAAGAAGGAAAGGTTTATCATGGCTCACAGTTTGAGGGTACAGTCCATCACTGCAGGGAAGACAGGATGGGGGAGGAAGTAGAGAGAGAGAGAGAGACCCAGAACAAGGGCCAAGCTTTATGTTAGCTTTTATTATTAATTTTTAAAAATGATTTAAATGTCAGGTATATGATTGATTTTACTTGTTAACTTTGCTAGATTATTACCCAGATCTTTGTCACATACCTCTGTAGGTGTTGCTGTAAAGGAATTCTTAGAGGTGTGATTAACATTTAAATTGAGAGACTTTGAGTGGACCATTCCTTTTCATAGTGTGAGTGGGCACAATCCCATTAGGTGGAGGGCTGAGGAAAATAAGGTTTCTGCCTCCCAGCTATCTTTGATCTGGAGCTTTAACATCAGTGATTTATTAATTTATTATAAGCCTCTCACACAGGAATCCCGTTGGCTTTGCTTTTCTGGAGCACCCTGGTTCATATACCAGATACGCAGCATAAATTTGTAGACCACGCTTGTGTTTGGTACTGCACCAAGATTTTCGTTTCTCCCAGTGATTTGATTTCCTCATCTCCAACTCCGGAGAGAAGCAAGTATCACTAGGCATTCCCTGAGCCCACGAGAATGGCGTAAAGTAACTCTCGCCTGAGAGTCTCATACTCTGGTACTCTCGGGGTCACCACCTCAGGGCCCCCCAGTGCCAGCTGTTCATCGTTGGTGGCATTTATGTGGGCTCCGGTGCTCAAGCCTTTCCCAGGCGTGCCCAACATTCTGCAAAGTTCACACTGGAGAACTGAGCCATAGAGTTTTTTTTTTTTTAAGCCATACTGTTTTCAATAAGATTATGATTTTGTGTTGGGTCACATTCATAGCTATCTTGGGGTGCATGTGATCCCAGGTCTGGGCCCTCCTGGGAGGATGAAATACCTTCCTGAACCATCACCAAATCAGGTGATGCGCCCTACCCTTAATAGAAGTCTGTCTTTTCATTTCTTGCATGTAGGGATTTTTCCTTATTTTATGAGCTCAAGTATGGCTGTGAAAATATTTTTTCTGCTCATGTGTGTGGGTTTGTAGGGGTGTGGAAATTCACACTAGCTCATTTTGTGTTGTTGCTGGAACCCAGAAGCCTAGTCACTCTTTATGTTGCTGAAGAGAGCTTTTACGTTTCCTTCCTAACTCGCTTCTCCCCATCACCCCCTCATACAGAGGGGCTTCATCTCAATTGTATTTCTCTCACTTTCACAAAGCCCGGGGTTCAATGTCCAGTACCCCCAAACTGAGTGTGGGTATGCACATCCATATCCCCAGCACTTGGAGAGCGGGTGACAAATCTCACTCTTGCCTTTGATGTGCTCTATTGAGATGGACTTAAGCTTTGTAACTCCAGGTCTGGTGTAGAGACTGAGGGCAGAGACCAGGGGGAGGGTCAGAAGTTTAAGGTCATTCTCATTACATAGGGAGCATGAGGCCAACCTGGGCTACATGAGACCTTACTCCCCACCCACTCCAAAAGAGCAAGGCTTCCCCCTAGAGCTATGACCACTGTCATTCCACCATCTGGGACACCTCACTCCTTTCCAGAGACCTGTGGTCACAGAATGTATAGGGCTAATACATCACTGTATTGGCAAAGAGTGAGCTTCTAAAAAAAATCAAGGGAGTGGAGGGAAAGGAAAGCATAGTGGAGAGAGGCAGGGGGCTGTCAAAAGGTAAATGGAGCATGGGGAGTTCAGATAAATGAGTTGTGGCCTGGCCAGTGTGGCCCTGGGGTGACATTCTGCAGCTCTTTCTCAGGACTGTGATTTAGGGGCACAAGGCTGCAGGAGCCTGCCCTGGAGCGTTCTGAATTTATTTAGGCTATTATTTGCGTTTGGTCAACTTTTCAGACTCTGAAGTTTTCTTTTCTTCCAGGCTGTTGCCCAAGTACATTAAATCTCTGCCGAGAAACCTTGCTGTGCTATTTGGAGCGCTTTGCTGTGAGAAGCTAGGGGTGTGGAATTCTGGGACTCACGGAGAGAGCAGAGGCAGAGCCCTGCAGCCCGGTGGAGATAGTCGCAAAGGGTTCCTTTCTGTCCTGTAGTCACCCATTATCACCTAGAGCAAGGAACAGGGAGAAATAAGGGACAAAAGACCTTCCTCTGACTCTTTCCAAACTTCTTCATCTCTCTATCTGTAGATAAGAAGTGTTTGATGACACTCCCTTGATGCAAAAGATCTGAGCTGATTCTTCAGGGAAGAATAAATGGTAGTTAGGTAGTGAGGGAGGTCCTTCTGTATGTGTGTTGCTTTTATTGGTTAATGAATAAAGAAGTTGCTCTTGACCAATGGTTTAACAGAATATAGTCATAATGGAATACACACACACACAGAAATTATATATATATATATATATATATATATATGGAGAAAGAGAGAGAGACAGAGAGAAAGAGAGAGAGAGAGAGAGAGAGAGAGAGAGAGAGAGAGAGAGAGAGAGTAGGTGGAATCAAGGAGCTTCCATGGAGCTGCCAGAGGGGAAAGATGCATGCTGCCAGCTGGAATTTTGCCGGTAGACCATGACCTTTACGGTGAAATATAAAATAATAGAAATGGGTTAAGAGATAAGAATGAGCTAGAAATATGCATAATCTAATAGGACAACCAGTGTTGTAATTAACATAGTTTCTATGTGATTATTTCGGTTCTGGGCATCCAGGAACAAACAAGCGGCCTCCCTTCAACAGTTTGGGGATGATAATGGATCGCAGGTCTCAGAATGTCCTCTGTCTCTCAGTTTTTATTTATGTGTGTGTATGTGTGTGTGTCCTTGCACACATATGCCACAGAATGCTTGCGGAGGCCAAAGAATAACTTTATGAGGCCCATTCTCTCCTTCCATCTTTATTTGGGTTTCTGAGGCTGAACTTGGGTCAGTAGCCTTGTTCAGCAAAGCACCTTTATCTACTATGCCATCTTGCTGCCCCCCCCACTTTGTTGTTGTTTAAGAAAAGAAAAGATATTTGGCATTGGGGACTAAATCCAGGGCCTCAAGTATTCCATGCAAGTGCTCTACAACTGGACTCCATCCTCAGACCTTTCCCCACTCTTTCCTTTGTTATTAAACATTAATTTGATTTATTAGTAGTGTGTATGTATGTCTGAGAGCGTAGGTGAGTTCAAGCATGCATGTGCCATGATGCATAGATGGAGGACAGAGGACAACTTTAGGGATTTGGTTCTCTCCATCCCCCTTGCTTTTGAGGCAGGGTCTCTCTTGTTTCCGCTATGTTGTGTGTATCAGACCAGTTGGCCCATGAGCTTCAGCAGCTTCCATCATGCTGAAGGAGTCAGCAGATGTTCACCGTCAGAGCTGGCTGTTTTACTTGGGCTCTAGAGATCCACCTCAGGCTGTTGTGCTTATGTGGTGATTACTTTTGCCCACTGAGCCATCTTGTTGGGCGTGTTTTTGGTATTTTGAATCAGCATCTCATATCAGAACTGGAACTCACTATGTAGCCTAGGCTAGCTTCAAACTTATGGTAATTCCCCAGTCCCAGCATCAAGTGCTGGATCATAGGAGTGAGCCTTTATGCCCAGCAAGTTTTAATTATTTTCTAAAATTTATTTTGCAAATTCTCACAATATGACTGGTTTCATTGTGGCATTTTCATATACGTATATCTTTATACTTTAGTCTTAGTCACCACCCTTTTCTACCCTGCCTGCCTCTTGTCTGTCCACTTCTTCCCCAGGAGACCCCCTCTTTTACCTTCATGTGGTGTGTACTTCATGACTTTCTTCTTTGTTCCCCCTCTCCCTCCTTTAAGGTATCTTCCTCCTCTATCGCCACCTCCTTTTTACTGTCATAACACACACACACACACACACACGCATACATGCACACACATGCACATGCACACACACACTCCTAGAGTCTGTTTGTGAGAGAACACATGCTATATTTGTCTTTCTGTGTCTGCCTTCCTTTGCTTAATATAATAATCTTCAGTTGTATCCATAAGTTTTAATTATTGAAGAGATGATGATATAGAAAACTTTAAAAATGTGCTCACCATAGGAGAGACATACTTCTAAGCCCTGTCTAATCCTGTCTCTCATCATTCTCACAATGCCCCCATGAGCTAGAAGTCACTGTCTTCATACCGGACCAAAATGTGCAAAGTCAAAGAGACAGTAAATATCAAGATCACAAGTAGATTCCACGAGGCTGGGATTCAATACAGGCCCGCAGATCCCAGTTAGCACACTGTCATTTCACAGAGTTGGGATCAAGAGTCGGGGATCTGCTCTTGGGAGGGTCAGAAATGCCAGAGAGATGAGAAAGCCTTGCTTAATGGGAGGTTCTGAACACACCAAGGGAGGTCCCCATAGAGTACTGAAAACCAGAAGGTGTCGAGCACTTGGAGTTTAGAGGGGAGGAGAGTAGAGCGCCGTAAGGCTGGACGAGAGGCCGGAGGCCTGACCCTGCAGGTTTCCTGTGTCTCACATTTTGCTGTTGCTGGCCTTCTCAATCTTAGTCCTAACGAAGGCTGGATAAGTCTTGGTCAGAAGACAGTCTTGTGCCCTGTAGGATGTTTAACATCATCTGTGGCCTCTACTGAGTAGAGTAGTAATTTGTCCAGATAAAATGTCTCCAGATACTGCCAAATGTCCCCTGGGGTAGGGGTAGTGAATTGGCTCTAGTTGTAGATTCCCAAGTAGGAGATTCCACTCTCATGATTTCTTTCTCATTGTCTGGAAGACAAAGCCTGTATCATGGGATCACTTTCTAGACATGTGTACTGACTTCGATGTGCTTTGACCGGGTCTCCACTGGTCCTGATGCTGCCCTTCCTTGGCAGTTGCCATGCTCACGTCAGAGAAGCGATCATCAGCCAAGCAGACTACACGGCAATGGACACACTATGTTAGAAAATGAAGACGGATGAGGCAAAGCAGGATCAGAACACAGCCAGAGGTGTTCTCGTCATGAGACCCACCAGTGTTTCAGTCCAAGGTAATATTTCCCCCATTGCTCAGTCCTCTTTCTCCCCAAATAAACATCAGTGTGCCGTGCTTGACAAAGCAGGCCTTTTATAGAGAAAATGACCTTAAATCAAAAAGAATAGGAACAAGACACTTGGCACTAATGGTAATAATAACCAGACTCCTGTGAAGGACTAAAAATAGTGCTCATTTATTCGCTGGTTGTTATGGGAATTCATACTTTTCAAACTTAATATTAAGCCTTTCTAGGTTTTTCTGTCAAGTGTGTTCTGATCTTGCCAAGTAGGTCAGGGAAAAGGAAAAGGACTTCTTTTTCCTAACACATCTCTGCTGTTTCCCTCCCCAAGAAAATGAAGTTACCTATGGTCTTCTTTGTGTTTTTATAAAGGCTAGAAAATGCTAATATTTAATTACGCTTATGCATGTGCGTCTGCGTGTATGGTGTAGACAGATGTGTTTTGGTGCCCACA